GCTGAAAACACTTTTGATACCTATGTTTAGTTCAACTTCGTAAATTGAGGTTGTTGTGAGTTCGACGGGTCATTTATCAGGAATGTCATGTTTGTTTTGATCACAGCTGATGTTTCCATGCATTTAGGCCAGGTCGGGTCAGGTCAGGTCAGGTCAACCAGTAGGTGTCCTGCCGCTTATCCATAGTAGGTGTCAACCACCACTGATGGCGTCGTAACATGTTACGAAGGCAATGAAACTATAACTTCTCAAATGTTAAACTGAATGCTAAATTCGAAATCAGCTCCAAAAACTGTCCTAGAAACATGTAAAACTCGAAAAGGTGAACCAAGGTCATTAAAGGTCAGTGACCTTGGCCTAATTTTCACGTGACCTTGACAGTGACACCCACCATACTGCATGTGACCAGCATCATATCACATGTTTGAACGCTTGAGTTGAAACCACGAAAAGACAGCAAACGCGCAGCTAGTGCGCGCCGACGTACGCCGAATCGCGATTCCGGCCAAATGCATAGTCTCGTAATAATAGCAATATCAGATGCTGATTTACCGCTACTCAGTCAAGTTAGAATCATTTCTTGGCCGCGGTCACCGGGCCAGGCCACCACGGCTTCACTATCTTCCATAGGAGGTCCATTGGGATCGTCAGTCCAGTTTATTTATACGTCCGTGAGCTGAACCCTATATATGGCCTTGAGCTGAATAATGAAAGTGCGTGTAACTTTACACCTGCTCAATCAGTATGCAGTGCAGCTTCAGCGCACGTGTTGTAGCAAAACACTGGACTAGACTGGTCTGTAACCAGACTATAGACTGATGCGCAGCAGACATCAGACTGATGTGGAACTTCACACTGGACTGGCTAGTGTGCATGTAACTTAACATCGGGCTGGTCAATGAGCATTAAACAGGCACCGCAATGTGATGTATCAAAACAGACTGGACTGCGGTGTAAATAGAAACCCGTGGTAGTGTGTAACTAGACGCTCGGGTCATATAACTGGACCAATTGAATCTAGCAATCTGATCTGAGTCACTGTTAGATTCTTGGAACCTCCAAGCGAGCCGGCTGTCACGGTCACTTTACACCCACGGAAAGCTATTTACAGTAAAGAAAGTTTCGCCTCAGCCGGTGTCCATGAACAGCGCCGAAAACAAGACAAAGAGGTCCGAGTTTGTGAAGAGAGTGATGGATGCCAACGGTGCAGGGAAGACGGTCTTATACATCGATGAGACAAACTGCAATCTGTTTCTCCGCCGGTCACAGGGACGCTCTCGCCGTGGTACCAGATGTGCCGTGAAGGTCGCCACTTCGAAGGGCGCGAACGTCCACGTAATTGGGGCCATCAGCCAGACGGGACTGATCTACTGGGAAAGAAGGCGAGGATCTTTCCGGAAGGAAGATTGTCAGGAATGGCTGCGCCGAGCTCTCCGACAGTGCCATCAGCCCATGGACAGCATCGCCGTGGTGTGTGACAACGCCCCGGCCCACAACGGCATCGAAACGGTGGCTTCTGAGGCCGAATTCGAGGGGCTTGAAATAATCCGAATGGCCCCCTACAGCGCGCCCCTGAACCCGATAGAAGAGTGCTGGTCGGCGTTCAAGGCGGCCATGAAACGGTCCATGGCCGTCACCTTCTGCGACATGCTGAACACGGGCGAGGGGCTCTCGCAGACTGAGCACCGGCTCCGCTACCTGGAGGAGCACATCGACAGAGCCATAACAGCGATAACGCCGGTGTGCTGCCTCAACTGCTACAACCATGTCCAGAGGCACTACGCTGGCTGCATGGCTCTCTTGGACCTATCCATGGGTGTATAAGCTATGCTGTGTACCGGCTGCATGTAGCCCGAAGATATGCAAAGATAGATGCGTCACAAAAGCATGACGATTTTCTATGCAAAGTTACATGTGTACATAGTTTCGAATAATTTCGATGTTAGCTAACGACTGTTAAGCAGTGAAACCACTGACAATGTGATCTGAATAGCCTTGCAATAAATGCAGTGGGATTTTTGATCTTTATAAACATTGCAAAAAGCCATAATCAGAACACATCGGCAAACAAAAATTAGTTACACTTTCAACAAAAAAGGCAAGGTATTAGATAAGGTTACATGACAACAAAATGCATTAATAATGAATGAGATAATGCTATATTTAGTACACTTTAAAATGCAGTTCATTTCTTTTAAAAATAAATTCAACTGTTTTAAAATCGTCGTCAGTTGTTTTAAAATCGTACTCAATTCTTTTAAAACGGAATTCATGTGTTTTAAAACCAAGTTCAACAGTTTTAAATCACAGATCAGCTTTTTTAAAATGGAGCTCAACTGTTTTAAGTCGCGGCTAAGTGTGATGTTTTGTTAGTGTCTGCTAGGTGTTCAGTGGTTGGGGACTGGGGTCAATTTAAAGTCCATTCCAGTCCAGTATCGTGTATAAGAATAAAATAGACCAGCGACTGGGCTAAAACGTCCTCCGGGCCGGATTTGAACCAGCGACCTATGGATGCCTGTGAGTGTCCTACAGTCCACCGCTCTACCAACTGAGCTACCAGAGGATGCGGGACCGTTCCGACGCGGTATCGCGCGCCGGCGACGGCGGGCCGTGAAGTGCCGGTTACAGAGTGGAACGGTGAAGTGAAAGGGACCACGCTCTGAGCGGGGGCGGGACGACGAGCAGGTCAGCGCGGCGACGAAAGTACTCAGCATCCTCTGGTAGCTCAGTTGGTAGAGCGGTGGACTGTAGCGGAACGTTCAGACATCCATAGGTCGCTGGTTCAAATCCGGCCCGGAGGACGTTTTGACCTCAGTGACGGGTCAAAAATCTTTTAATTTGCGGTGGGATTTTCAGTCGATGTATCCATGGTGGTGACCGATGGCCGGAGAGGGCCTTCTTACCGCACACCTGATTATCGCGTACACTAACCCGCGCCCTGACGGTGGGGGGCATTTTGGCCCCCTGTGGTTTTTCTTAAATAGCAAGAAAACGTCGGCGCGCAGCGCCGCCAAATTTCCAGTACATTTCCGGGCATCAATTTGACACCCTCACACAAAATTTCAAGTCACAGGTCACTTTGGGTCAGGAGTTATTGAGGTCAAACTGAGGTCATGTTCGAGTAAAAATGTGCAAAAAACATTACATCTTGAAACGCTCACCAAATCTACAGTTAACAAGCAATTTTAAAGTTCTTTATGTGGTCGTGTAGAGAAAAGACGGCGCTACGAAACTGCTATTCCGGGTTTTCAAAATTTTGGGATTTTCATCCCCAAAAATAAAAAATATGATTTTTTTCTAGAAAAACTAAAAAAATCCCAAAAAAATCGAATTTTGAAAAACACGGAATATATGTGATAGTCCCTCCGCTTTTCTATATACATATCAAATTTTAGATCGATACTTCTTTTTCATCGATAAGTTTTAATGATCGATAACTTATAGCAAAAAAAAAAAAACTTCAAAATTGATTACGTTAATTTTTTTAAACTCAATTTTTAGCAATTTTAGACCACGTAGCGCAAGACAAAGACCACCATTAAACTCCCCGTGACGAGCTACATCGAATCGATACCCATTTTATGCAAAAATATCAACTTTGAAATTTGACCTTATTTGACCTGACCTTGACCTGACTTTCACCAAAACATAATATCAGCTGACCCCAAGGTCTGCCTGCCCCACATAATTGCATTTGACATATAAACTGGACCATAAAACATGCATGACATGATATTTTTATATTGTGACCCTCAGTGACCTGACCTCTGTGACCTGACCTGGTATTAGTGACCTCAAATAGCAAAATATGTGTTTGACGAACATTTCCCCATCGATGATTTTCAATGAAATGCATTTTACTCGATTTTACAACGCATTTCTTGAAATGCCTGTAAACGGTGAAAATTCGACATTTGACCTGACCTGTGACGTCATCAGTTAGACCGAGGTCAATGAAATTGGGTCACAAGGTAGTTCCCCGTTGGGGCTATCCAACGCCGTTTGCCGCGTCGCTATGTTGCGTGGTTCGCGAGATCTAAGGGAGGGCCAAAATGCCCCCCCCCCCCCATCAGACCGTGTTGCTCGGCAGACCCAATCAGAGCGCGGGCTAAAAAAGGATAAAAACAATAAAGGCGATCAATATATAAACGAGTATCTTTGTTGGAAAATGTTGTCATTTTCTACTCAGGTCAATACCAATGTCACTTGAGGTCATTGAAGAAAAATATGATTCGACAAATCGACGTATAACCCGTGAAATGATGAGCTACGGCTTCGCGGTAAAGTGCAAGCGATAATTCTTTGCAACCTCTTGTGATGTAACTCAGAATGCTCAGAACTTATTATGCTCAGTTATATGCTCAGAATTTACTTCAGGGCGACGGTTCGTTCTCCTTGGACAAATAATGTGAAAATGGACATTTGTTTAGGCTTGTTCTGCAATAACGCTCAATACACTCTTTGTGCGACACCGATTCTACGAGCATCCTATTTCTCTCGTCGAGACGCGTCGGTTGAATCATAGTTTGACCTTCAGTTAGAAAATTTGACCTTCGGCTTTTGTCTGTTTTTTTATCTGATGCCTATTTCACGAAGGATTTGTAATTGCTGCGAGTCCCTCTCTGGCTGGTCAATTTGCCAGTGACCCCGGTGCGTCCCCCGGGCCGGAGGTGAACATACGGGCAAAGACATCTGCGGGTCCCTGGTTCAAATCCGGCCCGGAGGACGTTTTGACATGGAACGCATGCTAGGTCATTGGCAGTCGACGTCTTATTGGCTTGTTTGCGTTTCGCTCCAAATTCGTTTAAGATTCTTTTCAATTTGCGTCCAATAAAAATCCCAACTTGTCTACACATCAAACTTTTGTTTTGATTCTGCCTCGAATCTATCCATCTTCTCTTTGAGCGGTGGATATCCGTGTGTATTGTGCCTCCGTCACCCACTCTGAGCTCGCTACCATCACACCAGTCTGACCTCCCCCTCACCGTCCGGTGTTTCAGCTGAAGGAGTTCCTCTCCAAGTGCAAGGTGCGCACCTACAACCAGCAGATGAAGGAGGTGCTGGACAAGATCAAGGCGAACGCTGAGCACCTGGACGCCCGGCGGCAGACGCTGCCGTTCGAGTTGTCCGACCTGGAGGCGGTGCGCCGCTGGGAACAGGAGCGACGCACAGAGGGCACACCCTTCACCGCCTTCTACGAGCTCTGGCGCGCACGGCAGGAGAAGAAGAGCAGCGCCAAGCCCGGCAAGGTGGGTGATGCAGCGGCGTGAGGGGCTGAGTCGGCGTGGTGAGGGTGTGGGGATGAGGTCAGTGCGTGAGGATGGTAAATGGTGAAGCAATGATGGTATTTATAAGGAGCAATTGGTGTTTATGAGTGATTCTTATGACTCGGCAACCTCACTTGTGGCTTTTGGAAATTTGTTATGGAAAATATCCAGACGCACCTGTCTAGCCGCAGAGCGCGCCGCTGTGTTCCCACACTCCCCTCTAATCCCGTCCCCGCGGTGTCGCAGGACTCCAAGATCAGCGTGCGGGCCGGCCCGGACGCCGTGGACAGTGTCGACGAGGACGAGGAGAACTCGGAGGACGAGGTGCGCCCGTTCGACGAGGACGCGGAGGACGACTCCGAGGGCGAGCAGGAGGACGGGGAGATGGTGTTACGGTGAGTGTTTGGCACTTCTTGCCATCCGGTCGTACTGCGCATCTCGTATTGTATTGCATTATATTGCATTGTATTGTATGGTATTACCGTCGTTATAGCTTGAGCCTAGGAAGATACTGTTCGGGCACCGATTTCATTTAGTGACTGCATGACTGAACGAAGTTCTTCGCACCGTAGGATAGCCTGAGAAATCCGCTGTGGTGAAATATGTTGGGTACCTTTCAGTGATCATTCTTTGTGTGGTGGCTGAAAGTGAACACTCGAGTGAAGGTTTCGCGGACCAACTGTTTCGCGCGCGTAGCCGTCTCATTGTCTTGCTCTCGGTGCTAGGCAAAGTTTATAATTGTTGTAGGTCCCTGACGAAACCGCAGTGACATTCATTTCTCAACTAATCAAGTCACAACCGTCCCAGTTCTAAAAAATATGGGTTTAAAACGTCCTCCGGGCCGGATTTGAACCAGCGACCTATGGATGCCTGAGTGTTCCGCTACAGTCCACCGCTCTACCAACTGAGCTACCAGAGGCCTGGCGGTGGCCGGTTATGTCGAGCTGCGGCTGCAGAGCAAGCAGGTGTGTTGCAATCTCTGAATTTGGGTGTTACACTTTCACTCTGTCACAGGCCAGAACAGCGACGTCAAGCTTAGCGCATTTGGCATTGTTCCACTGGTTTGATATCCTCTGGTAGCTCAGTTGGTAGAGCGGTGGACTGTAGCGGCTCTCACAGGCATCCATAGGTCGCTGGTTCAAATCCGGCCCGGAGGACGTTTTAAATCGTCAGCCGGCTGGCAAATACGTTCTAAGCAGGACCGGTTCTTGCCCTCGATTCTGGTCTCTTGCCCAATAACGCGCTTCGACGCGACCTAACAAAAGGAACGCATCCGGCGCTGGACGGCGGATAGGGGCTCAATGAGTATCGTCTCCGCACTGCTGTGGGACATAGCTTCCGAGCAAGTGATAAATAAGCCTGAAATATTTACGATCTTACCGAAATACGAATACTTTATACCACGCTGATACAATGACACTACAAGTACAGTAAAAATGATTGAGTAAATCTGTCCCCATATATTTAAGTACATTTTGGCATCATGCGCTTAAAAAAAGATCTGTCCCATCACCGTATACGAACGCCTTTTGTTAAGTGCAAAACCGCCCACCACTTTCTAAGCTCTTCAGATGCGGCTATATAGGAAATTTTATCATTTGCGTAATCATGTCTCAAAAGTGCATTGTGAATGTTGTTAAGTGCTTTTATTTGATTTTCGTGCAAAACAGTCAGCAGACGGACTACATACAACATTTTACATCAATGAATCATGTTTGCAACGTTGCTTGGCAGACGTACAAAAACCAATACATAACACGCAATGTAATGATGAAAAACATAGTAAAATAACATACAATTACAATGCCTGTTTCAGAAACTCATTCTGAATTCTGACTGTCAAGTTTGTCAGTGAGATGACGGATAAGGTACAGTGCTAGGCGAGACAGAGCTCCTGGAGCCCTAGTTGCTGACGCGCCATTCGGTTCACAGGTTAGAGAGCGAGAGCGACGAGGTGGAAGACGAGGGCGACAAGCTCGAACCTCTGAAACCCTCCAAAAACAAACAGAAGAAGCAGCAGAAAAGCCAGAAACGGAAACGGCCGCAGCAAACCAAGGCCGGAGCGAAGAAGGCAAAGGTTCGCTGATGAATGCGGTTGTTACGGGGTTAGGGATTTTCAAATATACGACTGGCGAAGTGGAGCTGGTGTGGAATGTGGATGCTGCAACGAAAAACACTACCGGTGCACTGTGCAGACCCAAAAATATCACGTGGTACGTCGTGTCCAGTGAAGCACTATTTTCATCGATAGACACTTATTGTCTAATGTCTGTCAGCATGTAGGTAAGGTAACATGGCGGGCGAGGAAAGAACACAACCATTTCAGTCCCCGCTTTAGATCGGCAATATGCCCAGCCCATTGTATGCTGCCTGGAATGTTTAACCCCGTATACTCGTACACCCCAGAGGCGCTCACATCCCTGGGGTTGTCACTCGACCTTCACGTACAATAACAGTAAGCTTGTACGATGCGCACAAGCCGCTGACGACGAAAACAACAATCACATGCCAGCACAGATGGCTCAAGTAGGTATAGAAATCCCGTCCATGTCGAGACTCGAACCCCGGCCAGGTTCGAGCCCACAGCTTATAAGGACACAGCCGTATCACTGCTCTCGGACATTAGGACGGATGTGCGGGCCGCGGGGGCGCCTGGTAGGTCAGCACGTAGTGTACGGACGGCTGTAGCGGCGGCGGCGGCGGCGGGGGCGGTGCGGGAGGGGCCGGCGCCGGCTGCCGGGCGGCCGGCCGGCCCTGCAGTCGGCTGTAGCGCACCTCGGGCGCGATGCCGTGGCTCGAGAGCCGGTGTCGCGCCAGCAGGTCCTTTCGGGAGAAACTGGCATTACAGGGCCGGTAGTCGCACTTGTACGGTTTCTCGGCGCGGTGGGTGAACGAGTGCGAGCGCAGGATCTTGGCCGTGCTGAAGCGCTTGCCGCACGTGGGACAGCAGTGCGACTTGTCGCCCGTATGCACGTGCACGTGATTCTTGAGTGATGATTTGTACGGGAAGCGCTTGTGGCACACGTGGCACTCGTACGGTGTCTCGCCCAGGTGGATGGCGCGCACGTGCATGTTGAGGTGGTTCTCCAGGTTGAAGCCCTTCTGGCACACCTGGCAGATGAACGGTTTGGTGTCGCTGTGCATCAGCTGATGTCGCCTCAGCCGGGCGGCGCTCGTGTAACTCCGCGAGCACTGGTCACACTCGTACTGGTTGGAGCGGTGGAACGCGCTCACGTGCGCCTCCAGGGTGGCCTTGGAGATGTACGACTTGCGGCACTCCTGGCACCGGTAGGGCCGCTCGCCCGTGTGCGTCCTCTCGTGGATGACCAGCGCGGCGGCGCTGGGGAAGGCCCGGCCGCAGTAGCCGCACCGGTGGCTCTGCTCGTGCACCTTCATATGGCCGACCAGCGCGCTGCGGCGCACCACCTCGCCGCAGCGGCGGCACTGGACGCTCAGCTCGGGCACGGAGCTGTGGTCGGTGCGCAGGTGGGCGGCCATCGCGGCCTCGTCCACGAACGCCCGGCAGAGCTCGCAGTAGAGGCTGTGCAGCGCCAGGGGGTGCTGCTGCTCCGTGTGTCGGCACAGCGCCGCCACCGAGTCGGTCTGCTCCGAGCAGAAGGAGCAGCGCGCCGGCGCCGCGTGCGAGGCCAGGTGGCGCTGCATCAGGCCGCCCGTCTCCTCCACCTCTGTCAGACAGACCGGACAGCGGCCCAGCCGCGGGTGTCGGCAGCGCACGTGCCGCTGCTGCTCCCGGTACGCCGAGAACGTGGTCGGGCACCTGCCGGCCAGACCGGGGGCGGCGTCAGCCAACGGTAATCGGCGGCAGATGAGCTGTGCATACCGCCTAATTCATCGATCTTACGGTACGGAACCTACACTACACGTGCTCTGAATAATTTAACAGGACTGCTCACAAAGTCGGGGAAAAACGCCAACGAGCTGAAAGCATATCCAAATAAGTGCTCATTCATCCAGACGCGATTCGCCCTCTGACGTAACGAACTCCAGTCATTATGAATTGGCCCACGAGCACCTTGAACAATGACACTGGATATGAGAAACGCAAGCTAAAGCCAGTCTGCAGCGTTGACCAGTTGGGTTCGGCCGTCCCCTCTCGGTCCTTACCTGCTGCACGCGTAGCTGAGCCTCTCGTTGGCCTTCTGAGTGAGGTGCTCGGCCACGGCCTCGGCCGTCAGCTCGGCGTGCGAGGCCAGGTGGGCGCGGAACGCGTGCATATTGTCCCGCACGGCGTGGCAGTGCGGACACCGGTTCACCACCCGGACGCGCCGCTCCGAGGGCTCGTCGTCGTCGTCGGCGTCCGTCTCTGCGTCGTCGGAGGACCGGCCGCTGCCGTCGGCCTCGCAGCTCGGCTGTGGGCGGCGAGCGACGGTCACTGGAGAACTCAACAGTTCAGAGGCTCATTCGTGTTGGATGCGGTCATCATAGATATGGTGCAAATTCAGCGTTTTAGGGCATCTGCCCCGCTCCATCTCAATCAGATTCACGGCGCAGAACGCAATAATACTTGAGATAGAGGTGGTCCATATGCCTCTAACACCTGTGCGAATGTTGCTGAATGCACAACTGGGTTTAAGACGCTGAGAGATTCCTCAGTCATCCACAGTGCACCTTCCAGCCCACCTCCGGACAAGCTTTTCGCCGATTGGTCGGGATTAGCTTTCTTCGTATGTAAGCAACTACATGTCATACATCCAGGGAACCATAAAAACTAGCTTGGATGATCCAAACTCGTTTTTTATGGTTCCCTTCATATGAGTTGAGCATCCCAAACAGATCACAACCCGTAACATGACACAAATATTATAGATAATCTTTGTGTATTTCACAACTCGTACAACACCTATTGAAAAGAGTCATGATAACTCCTTACACCACGCAGCAGTCCTACAACCTGGATATTGCGGACATCAGAGATAACATTCGAATGAAGGCTAACCTGCACAAGATGGAGACATCTAGTCGCCCTGAAAGGGACCTTGAAACAGGTTAGAAAGATGTAGCTCCCACGTCACAGATACAAAGTACAAAAAGAAACTGACCTATCACGCACAAGACAACTGGAAAAAGATAGCAAAAAATCATCATAAAACGCTGCATAAACGTTCACCATAAAAGTATATACCAAACACCGGCATTCGCACGTGCACTGCAGGCACAGAGACCATCTTGATCATACAACTATTTTCGACTGCTATCAAAGGTGCAGTACAGAAATTCGTCGCCCTAAGACACGCTTGGTGTCACGCCGGCCTTGAGGGAGGACATGCCGTAGCTCCCCGCGGCTCCGAGACGCCTGTATCACCCCATCTCCGGGGACCTCACGAGGTGTGCGCTCGGAGCGGAGGGGTTAATGTCGGTCGGCGGGTTCAGCCGTACCACCGGCCCGACCGGCAGCGGGCGGTGTCCACCAACACGGACCAGGCACGGACGGATAATGCCAACGCAAACATCGGGCCACCAACCCCGCCCATATCGACAGCCCGAGCGCAGGGCGCAGCGCCCCTCACAGCTCCCCACACGGACCCATCGCGTCACTCTCCAACGCCACACACACACACACACCCCGCATCTGCACAGTTACCGCCCCGCTTCTAACACACCCATTCAGAGGCACAGAGCTGTAGTCCGTAACGACCCTTCCCCAGGCACAGAGTTGGAGTCCGTACCGACCCTTCCCCGGGCACTCAGTGCCGAGTGAGCCGCGAGTAGTTGGTCACCGGCTGAATGCCATGAATCTGCAGCTTGTGTCCGGCCAGCAGGTCCTTCCGCGAGAAGCTGCGGTCGCACCACTCACACTTGTACGGCTTCTCCGTACTGTGCGTGTGCATGTGCGTGCGCAGTGAACCGCGAGACGCGAAACACTTTCCGCAAATGTCGCAGATGTGCGACTTGTCGCCAGAGTGTGTGTTCATGTGCAGAGTCAGCGAAGACTTGTACGGAAACGCCTTCTGGCACACGTGGCACTGGAACGGCAGCTTGCGGTCGTGGACGGCGCGGATGTGCATCTTCAGCGAATACTCTGTGGTCATCTTTTTGCCGCAGACGGGACACTCGAACGGCGTCACGCCGGCGTGCGAGCGCATGTGCCGGATGAAGGCGGCCTTGGACTCGCAGCGCCGCTTGCAGCGTTTGCAGGCGTACGGGTTCTGGCGGTGGAAGGTGCGGATGTGGATATCGCGCACCTGTTTGGAGATGAAGGAGCGCTCGCAGTCGGGGCAGATGTAGGGCTTCTCGCCGGTGTGGGTGCGCTCGTGGTTGTCCAGGTTGGTGCGGCTGTTGAAGGACTTGCCGCAGTACTGGCAGTTGAAGTCCCTTTTGTGCACCTTCATGTGTCTCGCGTAGCTGACGTTGTTAGAGAGCACCTTGTCGCACTGGTCGCACTTGATCCGGCGCGACGAGTCGGCGCCCACGCCGTGCACGCCGCGCGCGTGCTCGATGAAGCCCTGGTTGTCGAAGTGTTTGTTGCAGAGCTCGCAGTAGTTGTTTTTGGTCTGCGTCTCGGGGTGTTTCCGCGTCACGTGCAGTTTGAGCTGCGCCTTGGTCTCGAACGGCAGCAGGCAGACGGCGCAGCTGTTCTGCTCGCCGTGCGCGGCCACGTGCCGGCGCATCCGGCGCAGACTGTCCACGGCCTGCCAGCAGACGAAGCACCGCCACACGGCCTGCGTGTGCGCCTTGCGGTGGTGACGCTGCAGGCTCTGCAGCGACCGGAATATGCTCGGACACGAGTCACACTTGAACACCTCCTGCACGCCCGCCGCCGACTGACCGGCCTCGCCGGGCGCCCCGGGCACAGTGTCCGTCTCGGCCGGCGGCGGCGCCGTCTCGGGCCCGTCCGGCGGCCGCGCCTGGGTGACGGCCGCCGCCGGGCTGTCGGCGCCGTGCATCTGCTGCACGGCCTGCGCCAGCACGTCGTCCGGTCCGCCCGGGTACTCCATCTCCAGCGCCGGGATGATGAGCCCGTCCGAGGGGGCCTCCGGCGCCGGCGACGGCGAGCGCTGCTGCTCCCGCTCGTGCGTCAGCTGGTGCACCTTCAGCACCATCGGGTTGATGAAGAGCCGGCCGCAGCGGTCGCACATGTTGGCCACGCGCAGCGGCCGGCCGTCCGAGAGGTTGGTGGTGTCCTCGTCCTCGTCATCGTCCTCATCCTCGGCGGCGTCGTCCTCCTCTGCGGCGGCGGTCTCCAGTTTCAGCGAGCTGGCCAGCTGGACGGACAGAGGAGGCGGCGTCAGCGGACGGCCGGACACACACGGCGGCGCGGCGGCCGGCGGCCCGCCCAGCCGCCTCACTCGTCCGGCCGGCCGGCCGGCCCACGCGAGTCCCTCCGATTCTCCAGCCAGCGTGAGCAGCCGCCCTATCTGCACTTTGGCTTACATAGATGACTGGTAGGTGGCGGTACAGAATACTGGCATTGCCGGTGCACACGGTGTTTTGTGCAATGTTTTTTTTCAACGTTTTTGTTATTGAATGAATACTTTAGTTTGTCATAAGTCATACCTTCACGTCCACCAAATGACGGACACCCAGAACACGCTCAAACACCTTCACGATTACAAACAAAGCAGGTGACATAACAAGTAACCCCAATCCATATGGTATGGTATCAATATATCAATATCAATATATATGGTAATATATATGGTAATATCAATCAATATGGTAGGTATCTTCCAAACTTAATCCATGACGTACCGTACCCTGTCTCTGTTTCATCTAATCTATCGTGAACCCACCCTCACTCGCCAGTGGGAATACCCTCCGTCGCTCACCTCGCCGTACGAGGGATCGGCGGCCTGGTCCGGCTCCGGCTCCGGGTCGTCGACGCCCTCCGGGTTGTCGGCGTCCTCGTCGGCCAGCGTCCTGACTCGCTCGGCGGCGCGCCGGGCTGGCCGACGCTGCCGAACCGCCGCCGACCCTGAAACAAAGGGGCACAACCGGCCTGTGAGTCGAGGTTACATTCAGCTGCTGTAATGGCTCTTACAAAGGCCAACAAGAAACTAGTTAATGTCGTGCCAGTCCAAGACATTGCCAGCTTTAACGATACATTTACACTTACAATGTATACAAAACATATTATATAGCTTGATGCATTTGTCTATGAGTGAATTTATCCGTTCTGTCGCTCCTTACCGACGTCCTCCGCGGAAGAAGAGGCAGCAGCAGTCTTCGCCCTGTACGATGTGTCTTTTAAAACAGCGACCGTCTTGATACGCGACTTTCTCTTCTTGGGCTGCGGTGCCGTCTCCTCTGCTTTTCTCTTCCTCCCCTGCACCTTATCACCCTCCCCCTCTGGCTCAGTAGGTCCCGTCAGCTGAGCCTCGTCATATCGTGCGCACGTGCGGATGAACTTATTCTGCACCTCTGCGCGCGTGTCGTCCAGCCGGGTTTTGATCTCTCGCAGACGGGCCTCGAACGAGTCGACCACGTTGAGCAGCGAGGCGCACGACTCGCAGAGCACGTCCGAGTGGTAGGTGAAGTTGGCCCGGTGGCCCGTCACCTGGCGCAGCTTGATGGCGTACGTGGTGCTCGTCTGGTGGGTGGTGTTGCTGAAAATGTCCAGCACCGGGTGGTTGGCCAGGCGCATGTCGCAGATGAGGCAGTGGGGCGGCGGCGGCGGCGGCGGCGGCGCCAGCTGCTGGGACGGCTGTGCCTCCGGCACGGACAGCGCCACCTTCTTGTCCACCTGGTCGGGCTGCGGCGGCGGCACGTGGTGGTCGGTGACGGCCGCCGCCACCGGGAGCAGCGGCTCAGCCAGCAGCGGGTGCCCGTAGTGGACGGCCAGCTGCTCCGCCGACACGTCGCCCGGCTTCGACTCGCGCACCACCAGCTTGTAGACGTCGCCGGCGGCGCTGAGCTGGTACGCGCCGCCGGCCAGCTCCGTGCCGGCGCCGATAAACTGTAGCTCGTGGGAGACCGACTTGTCCAGCTCGGCGCCGGCCTCAGAGAAGGCGCCGACCGCCTGCACGCAGAACGCCGCCTCGCCCTCCTTGTCGCCGTCCTGGCGGCGGAGGCAGACAGGTCAGAAACGGGCAGACCGAGTGGTGTGTCAATGGCTGGGGTGGGCCAATCGAGCAGGAATGGGTCAATAACAAGAGGTCAATAACGGAGGGGAGCTGGCCCCTACTGGTGGAGTGGGGCAATAAAGGAGTAAAACGAGTCTATGACAGAGGAGCCGGTCAATGAATAAAGGGAGCGACTGAATGACTAATAAGTAATAGGAGAGGGTCAATAATGACGAACAGACCAACAAGGGGAGAGACTAAGACAGTAAAGGGGGAAACGGGTCAATAATGGAGCGGAGGGTCAGTAGCGGATCTCCCGACCCTCTTACAAACTTCTCCCCACAGTCCGTCCCCAGAGTGCGGCAGTCCTCCCTTCCCACGTGCCCGGCCGCGCCGCCGACCGAGGCCCGCTGCGGTACCGTACCTGGTGTACCAGCTCGCCGGGCCGCGCAGCCACCACCGTGTAGTGTCCGGCCCGCAGGTAGGTCTCCTGCGGGCCCGGGCTGAGCGTGGCCACGGAGGACGGCGGCAGGGCCTCCTGGTCCGAGTAGGACGCCGCCTGCAGCGCCTGCTGGCCGCCGTACGGTGAGCCCGCGTCGCGGCCCAGCTCGTCGTCCACCTCCGGGAAGTAGCTCGAGGACGAGGCGCGCAGCGACTCCATGGCTGCGGCCGCTGCTCACTGTGAGTGCGATATCACATAGACGTGGCTCCGGAGGCTGCGGGCAGACGGCGCCTGACAGTTAGTGACTGATGGCAGTCAGGAGGTATGATGGTGTAAATTAGTGTGAGGTCCACTGTGAATGAACATTCTAATGTTCATATATCAAAGCTATTCACACCAGGGCCCTATATTATGTACTTCATCTTGTCAAATGTTTCCAGAAAGTATTTAGTGCTGATGTGGCCTAAAGCTGCAGGCTATCTTTTGTCTTGTCTTAGTTACAGTGCTAAACCAAAATGAAAACTAGAATGTCATCACAATGGTCGAGCCACTCATTTTAAAATACAGCCAATGAACACAACAAGTACAACAGTACAATGTCACTGGTACATCCAGGGGGGAGGGGGGCAACTTAGCTAAAGTGAGAATGAGTAGAGGTGGCCTGGGCCATAGTGTAATTTCACCCCCTCTTTCCAAATTGTGTTTATACCTTTAAAATCTCCTCTCACCAAAGGTGACTGACCTGGAGTGGGTTACCTGGTCGACAAGAGTAATGTGAAATGTTTACAAAGTAATATGAAGGCATGGGACGCGTGCACTACCATTGTCCATTTCTATATTTTTCTTTACAGTAAAAAAATATTCATGATGTCAGGGCTGTGACAAAAAATGAGTGGCCTAAATCTGATGAGAAAACAGGATTTAGGGTACTCTAGGTACCCTTCTGCATGGACGACAGTGAAAACAGGGCGCCTGGGGCGATTTGATCAAGGTTCGTGAAATTCACACGTGATGTTTAGCATGTAGAAGGCACACGGAGGGGGAGAAGTTCCAAATGTCACGTGACCAATATGCCCTCCGGCGCCCTGTTTTCACCGGCGTCCTTCTGCATGAGTTGCCCCCTCCCCCCAAATGCTAGTCTGAATCCATCAGTGCTTAAGCTCTAATAACCCAATATGCCAGCAATAATTTATGGTGATTGGAGAGATTAAAATTAACAGGAAGTTGCTAGGCTATTCGCGAAAAACAGGGGCTCTGGTATTAACTGGATTTTTTGCCAGCTGGCGCCGTATGGTGGCGCTAGCAGAGCTTCTTACATATCAATGCTAGATATAAAAGAATAAATATTTACCAATCAATTTTTCATTTAAAGCCATTTGAAATATTTATGTCCATCCTACTACCGCGCTTATATCTAAAATTAAATACCTTTCGTGCGTCGCCAGCTGGCCAGCCAGCTGACGCAATCCAGTTTTTACCAAAGCCCGAAAAACAGCATCCTGATCCTGTTGAAAAAAAATGGGAATCAACCCACCTTGACCTGCTTTTGGTATTCTTTTCCTCGTCAAGCCCTTGCGCCGGTTGTGATGTTATCCGCCATACCTGCTATGCCTAAACGATCGAAATGTCTAATAAATTTGAAAACCTGAAACAAAAATGCGCAAAATTTTACAGCAAGCGACCCCGACAACCTCGGAGTCCTCCGGATCTAACCGTATTATTTGTTTTGATTTTTTAGCTACTTCTTCAAATATGGCAGCTGTAGTGCAAACTGCGCATCTGAGACATTTCTGGTGAAAGATTTCTGTTCGAAAATATATGCTGAAGGCGTTTTTCGGCAAAAGCCAGCTAGACGATTGGCGAAAATCTTCGTCTTTCTGTTCGTCGAGCAGGAATTTTTATGACCTGCAGTTATTGAACATTTTTTTGCTTGATGTGTGCTCGCTTTAGCGTCGTGGCGACTGGCAAGATTCTTACAGATAGGCGACTGGTCATTTCAATTAAAAAAATGTAAGTGGCTTTACACTGTGGTAAGTGGCATGAAACATTTTCCTGTGCTCTGCGCTTGCGTTCTTAGTGAAATGTTGGTCTTAGTTTATTTTTTAAAATGCTGAAATCATTGTATTTCATTGATTTTAGAGAATGAGAATGCAGACATAAACCAGTTTAGCATGCAGTTTGGATGTTATTTCAACAAACATCTACTTACACCTTAAATCTGCAAGACCTTTAGCCGGATGAGGTACCCTACCTCAACCGGCCGATCCGGCTAAATGTCTTGCAGATTTAGGGTGTAAGTAGATGGGTAGTCTCTTAGCAGACGTCACCCAAGCTGCCATATCTAGGTCTCACGTGCACAACAATTGTCTTTTCACAGTTAGATATATAACAAAACATAATCTAACCTGACCTAACCTTACCTACAACCTACCAACCTACCTAACTGGATACGGCAGCTCGGGTGATGTCTGCTAAGTCCTAAGAGAATACCTGAGGTAGCATAACAATATGTTTTTGCCTCTAAGGCTGTTGGCCTTTTCCTTTTTCCCTTGTTGCCTCACGTAGCATCCTACCGACTGGTGGTGGTAGCTGCAGGGGCCTATGCGGCTGCCATGCCACTTATCACATCTTATCACACTTATCACACCTTCACACTTATCACATGCCTATGCCACTTATCACATGGGATGGGTGATGACCCTTTTCCTTTTTCCCTTGACAGTTGGCATTTTTTTAAGATGTAACCACCTGTTGGTCATAGGTGCCTGACCAGACATGCCTCCATCCCAATGTTTTTGCCCCATTCCTCTGTCCCCCATTTTGCCCATTACTGGGACTGGCAGCTGCTTCATGTGATATTTTGGCTGTTCTTTTCTGACCTCACCTAACTTGGTTTTACATTGCAGTCTATCTACAAGATCTTAGAAGGTGAAGCACAAGCCAGAGTACTCATCAATAAAAGGATTGGAGAAAGTTTGAGGCAGCTGTGGAGCACCATCTGAGCCCTGAGGTGGGTGGAACACATGGGGTACTGGCCAAGTTCACTGTACTAAAGCCTGTTGTGTCTGCTCTTCACAACAAATCCCACCACTCAGTGCGTCTGCGCTAGGTGTGGTAACCTGCGGTGTGGCCGGGAGCCGTCTGGCGGTGACGCGGCCCGTGGCGCCCGTCCGCGCTGCTCCACCATGGAGAGCGGTGACTCGGAGTACGAGGAGGAGGAGATGGTGGTACTGGTGGAGCTGCACGGCCTGGTCGACGACGAGCTGCTCACCAAGGGCTGCTCCTACCAGTTCGTCGGCATCGACACCGACAAGCCGGTGCTGCAGCTCGGCAAGTACAACTTCCTGGGACACTACGAGGACCAGATCGGCTCGGCGCTCTTCCTGGGCCAGTCGACCGACGATGGCGGTCAGAAGACGTGGTCCAAGGTGTGCTTCTCCGACAAGAAGCTGTCCATGCAGCGCGTGTTCCTGAGGAAGAAGGGCGAGGAACCGCCGCCGGTGACGCCGCCTCCCGAGGCAGAGGACTCGACGGAGGAACCGGAAAAGGAAACGGAGTCAGGCGGGGGGTCGGAGAAGGACAGGGAAACGGAGCTGGAGCCGTCCTCTGGAACAGCAGAGAAGGAAAAGGAGCCGTGCTCTGAAACAGCAGAGAAGGACCAGAAGCAGGCTGGTGACGCGAAAACGGACTCAGCACCGGCAGAGGGCGGTTCGGATGTGGAGATGACGCCCGCGGAGGGCTCAGGGACACAAAAAGCTCAAAATTCAGACAGTGAACCACCTTCGAACAGCGATAAACCTTGAACGTTAAAGTGCCCTCCCGTGTGAACGTTTTAGTGTCATGAACTTCGTGCACGTGTGTCGCGGACCATGTGGACCTCCGCGATGATGACGTGCATGACGTGCTCGCCCGTGTCGCCGCTGTCCCGTGTCGCTCGTGCGGCGGCCCGCTGCGTTTCGCGGTAGTTGTGACCGACAGTGACGTGGAACCACCGCGTGACCCGTCGAGCTGGTGACTTTTCCGATTCATATCGCCGATTGCGGTGTTTATTTTTGTGTGCCGGCCGTTTGGTTATCGCGTGAGCGGCGGGCTCGGCCGGTGTCGCACCCTGTGACGGCGGCGACGGCGGTCAGCTCCAGTGGTCACGCTCACGCTCCCCGCCGAGTGACCTTCGCCGGTCGGTGGCGCCGCGCCCCGTCCGACACCGTTACCCCGCCGGAGTTCGGTGCTCACATCGCTCCATTGCAGGGTGCCGAGGGGAGGGACAGACGGTGCCCGGGGTGCGGCTCGGTCCCTGTCGATTGCTGTCAGCTTGCTGTGATGTTTCTCAGCTGCCGAACAGTCGTGGACGATTTTGACAGCATGTTGCTCCGGATGTGTCGAATGTTTCCGAAGCAGGTTGTGTTTGAATGTGCATTGTTTTGTTTCGGTCATGTCATGATTGATATCAATTTCGTACCTACTCGTTTAAATGTTTCCATACGTCTTGGGTGCGATAATTCACACGTCTGAGAGCAAACTATCATATTTCGTAGTAAATGAATAAGTTTCAAAGACAGTTTCACAGCTCGAACTTTTTGCCTTCGCCACAAACCCTTTTCAAAAAAGTTCATGATGAAAGACCTCGTGTTTACAAAAGGAACGTGATGTGAGTACTTTGAACATCTGAAGATTACGAACCGTAGCCTCATACTAAAGTGAACATTTTTTACAATGAGCCTCAAGACAGCGCTTACTAACATTACTTTGAACATTTCTAAAATATAAACCGGAGAATTTGTGACCCGGAAAACATTCCCCGTCAACTGACCGTGGAAGATAGGTATGTGTCGCACAAAAGTGGATCGCTGCAGTATTTTGTGCCGTACTTTTCACTCTGAAGCATTGTTAGCAGCTACCCACAATTTACCAGGCATGGAGCTCAGGAAAACCGAATAAAATCGCGCTGTATTTTCCGTCTCAATTATTTCATACGAAGTCACGCACAACGGCACAAACCCTCTGCTGCTCGGCTTTCACCACCAGCCCGCCCGCCTCTGGCCTGCATTACATCCCTGGACCCATCCGCGGACGGAATATGTAAAACCACGGAGATCCTATCCGGGCGCGGAGCAGCCGCCACTGAATATCTGAACAGACCGGGCGCATTATCAACACGTCCGGCGGAGGTCGGCCAGCGCCAGCGCCCGGCCGCGTGTCATTAGCCGGAGCGGCTGACATATGGTGACACCTGGCGCTGTGGCGTACCGCGGCCAGCAGTTAGGGGCACCTGTCCGCGACTGGACGGTCTGTTCATCACGCCACGCGCAGTGCTGCGTGATGGGGATGACATGGTGTTGATATCCAAAGTTGTGTAGTCGCTACGTTTCGCTACACGAGTATGAGCTAGCTGCCGACTGATAACTGCTAACTACTGGCGACTTTAATCGGCCGTTTGGTATGTGTAATGGTATTGGCGCTGGGAGCTCGCGTGTCTGTTTTGGTCGACTGTCATCGCGGTCCTCCCGTGCGGCTGCGGAGGTGGCTGGCTGTCGGCAGCCACTTGCTGTCATATTTACAGCGACGCGATGACACACTGGATGACAGCTGTCAAAGGGGACCTACCGCCGTGGCTGATAACGTCAACACATGGCCGCAGACCTGTAATCGACACGGGCTGAGTGCTTTGAGCTGTTTGAGGCGGCTCAAACCTTTTTGTACCGCTGTCGCTGTGATTCAGCGTGTCGCATAGGCCACAGCGGTCAGCGGTCACTGAAAATGTGGTAGAGGCGGGCTTTTCACATGGCCAAGGCCGAGCGGTGTGTCGCCTCCCTTCACTGTCCTATAGAGCTGACGGCAGGGGAATAGAGGCGAGCCATTCTATCGCCTTATTTGACGAGGACTGAGGAGCTGCCGTGAACGACACTGTTGCGGCCTACGACGTGGTCCCATCGTGTCAGCCACACGAGCCGGTGACAAAGTTACATGCTCGCAAGTCGGCAGTGCTTTGATAACTGCCTGACTGCAAGCATGACAGTGCTACAGCCGTGCAAGTGTACTTGTTCTAAAACGGCTTTAGTAGCAAAGTACGAAGGCGTGCTAAATGCTGAACGACGTCTGAGCAGACGTGTTTCACTGCTGGCCATTGTAACCGCTGATCGCGTCGAGCGTGGTGATGTAGCCTTCCACTGCGTCTGAATGCAAATGTCTCGGTCAGGACTAGCGCTCGTGCGCGTCTGAAGGTGCTACTGTGGGAGGGCCAAATTTGGGTCGCTCTCCCTCGATTATCCTCGACGCAAATTATCCCCGTCGCGACGGGACACTTATATCCAAGTCGCCCCCGCCCGCTGCCGCTAGCCGGATTCTAATCCAACCACAGGACGCTGTGTGTAGGCAGAATGGCGTTCCCGCGGTATAACATCGCTCCATACGCAACAAACGTTTACACCACGTCTGCTACTGTGAGTCGACGCATGATTTGGCGAGCCGAGTGGCCGGAGAGCGGTGGCGCTACCCGGCAACAGAGCTGAGCTTGGTTTGCCACCGGCATCTGACTACCGAGAAACCAGACACCCTAAACCGGCTATCGAATTTATGGAAATCCGGCTGCAGTGAGCGCCAGCTTCAATTCATGATGCATGGCGCGGCCTGACAGGTCCACTTCAGGCCAAATCAGGCTCCCAGCCTCCTGGATCGGGCGCCGATCATGGGCCGGGCGGCCGCGCAATTTGTCCACTCGGATGACCTCTGATTGAAAGGTCGAATGGATCGTGTGCAGCTCTGCCGGAGCGGTTATTTAGCGGTCAGACTGCTGCGTCACTGCACTGGGACAGAGCTGGCCGGAGCGGGGGCGGGCGGAGAGCTAAGCCCCCGGTAAATCAGCGCTGATTCGGTCCGGTCACGAAACTCGGCGTCCCGTCAGCTCGGCGGCTGTGTCTGTCGGCCGCAGCATCCGCTGAGCTCCGACAGCTGTGACTACCTGAGACAGACGCCCTCTGGAAAGGATTCACTGCTCTGCGGTGCCATTGTATTGTGTCATCAATCTAGAATCTTGCTGCTGCTGGGAACTGCGCTGAAGTGCAGGGATTATAGCACTCCTGAGTATGAACTGCAACTATAAATGCGCTCGTATCAGACGTTCGTGCACCTGTGGCTTTGTGGGGCCGGTGTTGATTACGTGCACTGTGCACGGGATCGGCCTCTGTATGCACGTCGCGGCGGCCGGGAACGGCCCCAGCTGGCCGCCGGGAACGGCTCCAGCCGGCTGCGGATGGCTGCTGCTGACAGCAGAGAACCAACACGTCGTTAGCGCGTAGCCACAGCGCATCTGTCCGGAGCTGAGCGCCGAGTGAGTGTGACGCCCGACACGGCACGGCGACAGGCTGCGCTGCAGGAGTGTTTGTTGTCTCCCCTGCCACGCCCCCTGGCGGTCCGCCCCTTCCGCTGCGCCGCGGCTCTGCGAGGTCCGCGCCGGTGTCGCCGGACCAGCTGTGAGCGCTGAGCCGTGCCCTGCTCAGAGTCGGCGTCCGCCGCCCGGCACTGCTCGGTGGATAAACAATCCCCCCGGCAGACAGTGACCGCAGTGTGCCTGTTGCCGGGACTGGAGCGGCAGGACGGCAGGACAGCCGGTCGGCCGGCAGCCCTGCTCAAGGCTGGCCGGGCCCGTGTCATAAATCAGCACGCGGGCCGTCGGCGGGGCGCAGCGACGTGCCACTGTATGAGGCGGGCTCGGGCGGTGCAGAGCGCGGCACATGGGCGGCTCGGTGGGCGGCTAGTGCCGAGCGGACTGGCGGCGGCGGCGGTGGTGATCTCGCCCGGGCGGTGGTCGGTGCGGGAGTGAGGGCGGACCCGATCAGAGATGTCATAGTGAATCCTTGGAGGTCCGTGAGAACTTGGTCTCGCTTACGGCGTGCGACTCAGCAGCCATTTACATATGGGAGATCATCACGGATGTCATCGGACAAAGTGACATTGAAAAACCTGTGGTCATCGAAGTGAGCAGGACAGGATGCGAGCGGTATTGTAGCTCAGCACAGCTAGACGACTGATATTATCATAGGACTACCAACTCGAGCAGGGATGCGCTGAAGTCCGAGGAGGTCTACGTGGGTCGGCGAAGGTCGGCGAAAATCAACACAAGGTCTTCGGAGGTCACCTTAGGTCGGAACCGACCAGACCATGCGGGAGAGGCGGCGGACCGGGGCCTCCTCGGCCAGCTACACGGGATTCAAGGCCGTGGAGGGCTTCCAGTACCCCAGCATCTGGAAAAAGGCCGCACAAAGCGTCACCACTCTGATCCTGGTGAGTATGCGCTACCGAGAAGTTTGTTTCCAATGAACGGATTGGACTAGTCGGACAAACTGATTTTTCGACACACTTTTACATATGTAGGGTCAGGCAGAGAGGGGGGCCCGTTTGGCAATGCTCCCCTAATTTAGGTAGTCAGAGCTTCGCAGGAAAAACGAGCGAATGCGCGATTTCGAGATGCAGTTATTGGCACATAATTTTAAGGTCAACTGGTTGAGGTTAAGTCAAATGTCCTAACTCCTAAGGCAAGGGTCCGGTTTTTGGTCCTTAACTTTGCGTAAACCAGCCGCAGAGTCGTGATCTTGACATATCGTGGGTCATGCTCAGGCGCGTCGCATGGTACCTAACCCACTAACTATACGTGATTTGCGTTTGGGAAAGGTCAACTTAGGCGTTGACCCCAGGTCAAGGGCAGGTCAAGGTCATTTTACATGCTATTCGACTCGGGATAAATGAAATCGTTCTACATAAAGACGTTAACCCTCGCCGGCCGAGGGGAGGGGAGCGGGTGCCGCCCCCCCCATAGTTTTTTTTCGCGATAGCTCCGAACACGCTGGCGATAGAGAGCTAAAACTTGGCATACCTAACCTTTGATTCAAGCCGGATCTTTTGACACCAACCGCATTTTTGGGTCAGGTCAGGTCACTGACCTATGACGTCATAAGTGAACCTCTGCACGGTCTTCAGATGTCGCAACTTCGCAACGCCCTCACTGCCAGAGGTGATGTCACAGGAAAATGAAACTTGCATGATCTTGTATTCATTACGAGTCTCACAACTTATATATCTCGGATTTTTCCTTAAGGTCACATGAGGTCAGGTCATTTTCGTGACCTCACCATTTTAAGTCAATGGGGAAAAATTAAAACTGCTATTCTGGCGCCGGGAACGATCTCCAACTATCTCAAGCACACAGAATCGTGATTTGATGCACTCCTTGCAAGGTTAGATGCGTCACTTTTGCAATGTTGACCTTGCGTGACGTCATTTATGACGTCATCAAGGTCATATTAGTTTTTCGTCAATAACTCTTGATCAAATTGAGCTAGCGAGTCTAAAAAGCCACCAATGGACTCAGGAAGACCTGCCGAATCGAATGATATGCGACATGACCTCTTTCGACCAACTTCGTGACCTGGGGGTGCTGACCTGACCTTGACCTGAGGTCAACACCCTAAGTTGACCTGACCCTAACAAAAAGTATATCATTCGACTCGCCTGAACGAGGCGAACACGATGCTGCCAAAATCGCGGCTCTGCGGCCGTTTTTTGCGAAGTTATTCACCAAAAACTGAACCGTACCTTGGGGCACTTGACCTGACCTCAGAGGTTACCGGTTGACCTAGGACCTTAAAATAGGGTACCAATCTCTGCGTCTCGTAACGGCACACACGCTCGTTTTTTCCGCGACGCGCTAGCTCCACCAGGGGCGAAACGGCGAGGGGGGTCGTACCCGCCCCCCCCCCCCTCGGCCGGCGCGTATGTAGAAAACCAATAGGTCCGGCGAGGGTTAAACTAGGCCTTATCCGCCGATGTGCTGTTTTTTTATCCAAGTCGTACAAGATTGGCTCGTGAAATTAAGCATTCCCTGCAGAGAACGGCTGGCTCCAGTCAATCTAACTAATTTATCAAACGATTATGACACCAGACGGCTCTTAACCCAT